GGCCGAGATGTCGGGCAAGCCACTCGTCACGGATGTTATGTTTAAAGGCCACTAGGGCTTCGGCATCCGGGCAGTCGACAATTTGGTTCTTTTTAGTTAGGAACCGAGTCCAGAATTTGTTGGCTGACTCTCCGGGCTGTTGGGTTATGTGACTTAAATCATCAGCATATGGTGGTCGCACATAAGTGCCCTGGAAGTTGTCCAGGAATGCGTCTGCCAGGTTCTCCCAACTTCCGATGGAGTTTGCCGGCAAGCTATTCAGCCAATGCCTAGCTGACCCTTTGAGTTTTAGTGGGAGATACTTGATGGCGTGTAGATCATCCCCGCGGGCCATGTGAATGTGGAGGAAGAAATCCTCTATCCATACCGCGGGGTCTATAGTACCATCATATGATTCAATGTTCACGGGTTTAAACCCTTCTGGGAATTCATGGTCCATTACTTCATCAGTGAAGCATAGGGGGTGTGCGGCGCCTCTATGCCGGGCTACATCGCGACGTAGTTCAAATAAGTCTTGTCTGCTGTATTCGGCCCGGCCGGATTTGCTTTCAGTATATCTGGCGTGACGGTCGCCGTCACGCATTGGGGCGTGCCCCCGTGATCCGTAGATCGATCTTGTATGTCCTGCTTTGTTTTCGAATACGTTTCGCAGGTCCTGCGTGTAGCCCCGGTCCTTGGTGTTTTTGTTTGACTGGCGACGAGGTGCGGGCTGGACTTCGGGCTGATGCGCCGCTTTGTCTCGGCCACGAGGTGGCCGGTCCGTCGCGTCATACGCTGGTAGTGTAGGCTTTAATGCTTCCTCCTCGAGTTGGGGTAGCAACCTGCGCTTCGGGTAACTTTTGGTCGGGCGCTCGAGTTTGTATTCCTCGGCTGCCAGGACTTCGGTCCATCTATCCGCTAGTAGATCTTGATCAGCTTGAAGCTGCTGCTACTTTTTCTTCAGGCTTTTTGCTGTGGCTATAAGCCGGAGCTTGAAGCGCTCCTGCTCGACGGGATCCTCAGGCACGATGAATTCTTCGTCGCCGAGGCTCACTTCGTCTTCGGAGAGGGGCATGTAATTGTTGTCCCCTGATTCTTCGTCTGTCACCTGTTCCTTAGGGCTGGCTTGCCCATCCTCCCACTCGAGCCCTGGCTGGAGGGGATTGTCTTCGTCTTCGGCACTGTCTGCAACGTTATTGTCTCTTGTGCTGGTATTGCTGCTTTTGCTATGGCGGGGCTTAGAGCGGCGTCGATGACGCCGGTGCTTAGATTGCTTCTCGAGGGGATTTTCCTTCCTTGCCTTATTGCCATTGCTTTCTTTGGGGGTGTCCACCATATATATATATATCATATGATGAGGTGGCTGTCCAGCGCCCTGTGGGCGGTGGTTCCTGTTCTTCTCCTGCATCGTCGTCCATACCGTCGATGTCTTTGAAGCCGAAATCAAGCATCTCGGTTAAGTCGTCGACAGTGGCTATTAAGTGGGTGGTGGGTGGGGAACGAATTTCGTCGTCCGCTTCCCACTCAAGCCGGACATAGTTCGGCCAAGGGTCTCCTGACAAGGAGAGAGACCTCAATGAATTTAGCACATCGCCTAAGGGCGAGTGCTGAAAGATTTCCGCGGAGGTAAACTCCATGATCAGTGCCCAATCAGATTTGATAGGCACGAACGCAAGCGGTTCGGAGCCTGTGGCCGGGGACGAATCCAAGGGTCCGATGACACAGGTCTCATAGGAGGTGAAGTCAGTATTCGGCTGTATCGCTGCTGAGTGTGCGGCCTCTGTGGCGGGGTCCAACCACCCTTCCTCGGATGGCACGATCTACTCCGGATTGAGGGCCGGAGTAGCCGCAGGTGTGATCTTCCGAACACCGTCCGATGGCAGGGCTAAGTCATGCTCGTCATGACTGTGCAGCGCACCTGACATAGGCTCGAATCCGTCGAAGATCATGTCTCCGCGGATGTCGGCAGTATAGTTCAAGCTTCCAAACTTGACCTGATGGCCAGGGGTGTAGCTCTCGATCTGCTCCAGATGGCCAAGTGAGTTGGAACGCAGTACGAAGCCGCTGAATACGAAGATCTGTCCGGGGAGAAAATCCTCACCCTGGATCGCATCGTTGCCGATGATCGAAGGAGCCATCAAGCCTTTATCGTGACGGCGCAATGGAACTCTCAATGAAAGCACCAATGTCGGTGTCAAAACCGGCGGATCTCGGGCAGGGGGTCCCGAACTATGCGTCGAAGGCTGATGGTAACAGGAGGCGGGGGACACAATGTTTACCCAGGTTCGGGCCCTCTCGATGGAGGTAATACCCTACTTCCTACTTGATTGATCTTGATGATATGAGTATTACAAGAGTTGATCTACCACGAGATCGTAGAGGCTAAACCCTAGAAGCTAGCCTATGATTATGATTGTTCTTGTCCTACGGACTACACCCTCCGGTTTATATAGACACCAGAGGGGGCTAGGGTTACACAAAGTCGGTTACAGAGAAGGAGATTTACATATCCGAATCGCCAAGCTTGCCTTCCACGCAAAAGAGAGTCCCATCCGGACACGGGACGAAGCCTTCAATCTTGTATCTTCATAGTCCAACAGTCCAGCCAAAGTATATAGTTCGGCTGTCCGAGGACCCCTTAATCCAGGACTCCCTCACCGGGTCCCACGGCGGCGGTGCCTGAGGCGGGTAAAACCCGCCATAGGAAGGTGCGGGAGCAGCGCCGTAAGCTGGCGCGGGGGCAGCGCCGAAGGCCGGCGCGGCAACTGCGCTGTAGGCGGGGGCGGGCAGGGGCGCAACACCATAGCCGTTGTAAGGAGCGGCGTTCTGCGCGGCGAAGAGGGCCTGGTGGCTCGCCAGACGAGGTCCAAGGATGCCCGGAGCAGGAGCCCGAGGGACCGGCATCGAGTACGCATGGACAACGCCAGTCCACGGGTTGGTGCCGTACGTCCACGGAGGGTTGGCATGCTGCTGCTGACGAGCCCACCCGGCGCCTGTTGCTGCTTGCGGCCGCCCCCGCGGTGGTTACCGCGGCGCCCGCCACCTGGCTGTTGGGGGGCAGCGGGAGGGGCGGGAGGAGCGGGCGGCAGGGGGAAGTACCCCGGAGGCGCGGAGGCGGCGGCTGCTGGCGCGGCGCGGGTAGGGCGGCTGGTGGTGGGGCGCCACAGGAGGTGCCGGCGGCGAGGGCGTGATGCTGCACACGCTTCTTGACCCCCTTCATTCGACACTCCTCCAACCGCAAGTACGCCACGAACTTGGGGAAGGAGAGCTCCGGCATCAAGGTGAGGTTGGAGGCGGTGTTGCCGAAGTCCTCGTTGAGGCCGGCGGTGAGTGTGCTGAGGAGATCGTCATCAACCTTGGCGCCAATGTCGCGGAGCTCATCCGCCAACGTCTTCGGGCGGCGGCAGTAGTCATCAATGGACTGTTCATCCTGGTGACAGTTAAAAAAATTCATGCTGCAAAAAAAGCGGCGCTGAAGCTTGTTGTCGGTGAAGAGGCCGTTCAGCTTGACCCACAGGGCGCGGGCGTCGTTGCCGGCGCTCACGACCATGTGGAACAGGTCCTTGGAGATGGTGGTGAAGAACCACCGAATGATGGTGGCGTCGATCGCGGTCCACTCGGCGTCGTCCACCATGGCGCGGGAGTCAATAGTGTCGTCCACATGATCCACGAGGTTGTTCTCGTGGAAGAGCAGCGAGAAGTACGTCTTCCACGCGAAGTATGTGGAGCTGAAGGCATCGAGGACGACGGGGATGCGTGCGTGGACGTTGATGTCGCGGATTTCCGCAGGGTCGACGGCTAAGGGGTTGGAGTAGGTGGAGGCGTTGGACGACATGGCGGTGAGGAGTTGGGGAAGGGGGGCGGCGAGGTTGGGGCGGCGCGGCGGGGAGGAGACGGGCGGCACAGCGGGGTGAAGAGGGCGGTGCGGCGGGGAGAGGGGTGGCAGCGGCGGCGGATCACGGTGGTGGCCCGAGGCGGCGGCTAGGGTTAGC